AGACAGAGACAGACAGAGACAGACAGAGACAGACAGAGACAGACAGACAGAGAGAGAGAGAGAGAGACAGACACAGAGAGACAGAGAGAGAGAGAGAGAGACAAACAGAGATTCCCAGGCACCTGGCTTGGCATCCACATTGAAGCAACCTCCACCAACGCTTCAAAGCTGAAAATGTTAATCAAACAAGTTAGCACTTGCGCTCGCATTGAACTCCGATCAGATGCATCCATGAACAGGACAAACCCAAGCCATCCAGGAAGCCCCGATAAGCCCAAAGGCATCAGTCTCATTGTGGGGCAACGGGCATTGAATGTGGGGGAACCTCATCCAAGCTTATGGTTGCCATGAGCACTTGATTTTTAGCAGCTGCTTTAAAATCTGGGCATTGACATTCTGCAGGAGCCTGTCCCCAGAGGCCAGGCTGGGAGTCTCATGCGTCCTGAAGTTGTGGCGAGTAGGGTTGACAGAAGCAGCATCAGGGAGAACAGGCATTGGTAGTTTGACAAAGTTCTGGTTGAGAACTGTTTTGTTGACGGTCTTGAGAACGAAGCACCCTCAACGGGTCAGCTTTGTTGTGCCTTGAGTACTTGTGATGGGCAGGCCCTCTTTGTTTGGAGGATATTGGGAATGCACCTGCATGGGTGTGGGTCAAGTTTGCGACATGCCCATGTGCATGTTTTTATGCACCTGCCTGTACATGTATGTAGAAATATAGTCACTCGGGGGTCGAGTTAGTTGACTTTGCAGGCTTGTTTGAAAGGTCAATCAACAGGTGTGCTTGGAGGTCAAACATGGTCAAACTAAATGTTGCATCCAGTTGTTGCTCCCCATTGTCTCGATTGGCTCAGGCTAAGACTCCCAGCAGATCAGCGCGCCTTGGCTTGTGCTGACTGGTCAGTAGCATGGGGAAGTCCGCTTGGCCACTGGACTTGGTGTTGCATGTGCGCAGTGTGCGTTTCGGCCCAGTCTCCTCTTAACTAGCTGCGCCTGTTGCCAGATTGCACCTCGACCCATGTGCCCGCGGCCGGGCAATAGCACTACTAGCCAATTGAGGAACTGGCAATCGCTCGCAAAAGAACGCCACCTGCGATCTTTCCTTGACAAGCATGGCTTTATTGATGAGAGTCATCCCCGAGACTTGGGGAGTGACGGTGCTCGTATCAAGATGGAGTGCATGTACCCAATTCATGTCGCAGCCCAGCTCGGCGACACTTACATCATGCGAATCCTCCTGGAGACCGGTGTGGATCCTCAAACTGGTGCATACGGAGGACACACACCCATGGACTTGGCCAAGGAGGCACGACGCACCATGAAATCGTGGGTGGTCAATGAACCAGAAACCGGTTGCAGTAGGTAGGGTGACAAGTGAACATCACAATTGATGAACACTAGTGTCAAAGTGGTTGGGCCGTTTTGATAGTTGCTTGAGGCAGATGACAATGGTTCGCACTTGCGCATGTTGCAGCTCTTAGCTGAGACGGAGAAAGTGAAGTCTGTAGCACTCTAGGGATTGCTCTAGGTCGCTCTAGCTTCTTTGGTCCCACCTTTGAGGAAAGGTGTGAGGCACCAAGGCTTTTTCAATCAGTGTTTGAAGTTTACTAGGTTTGGCTACTCGTATTTTTATTGCGTGGCCTGGTGGCTGGGTGAACCTTGCAGATGACATACGTACATGTTCAGTGGAGAGCCACGTTTTATAGTTCCAGTTGAACGTTCATACTTGAAGGTGTTTGATGGTGTTTGAACGCTTGGCTCCTATGCTGGCAATTGGTCGGCACGTTTGTCTTGAGAAGGCAATATGGAGCACAACTCCCCTGCCAATCCAGCAGATTTGAAGAAATGTGGTCCTACAGTGGCAACCTTTAATCCCTGGGACCAGAAAGACTTAGCAAAGGATCCTAGACTTTGGATAATAAGGCCTTAAAACATGTCAAGCTGCAAAGTGACAAACCCTGTATTATTGTATTGTTTATGGTTGGTAGACATGGCAAGCACTTGCTAAAACTTGCATCCTGGCCATCCCAGGATGCAGATCCGATGTATTTGCAATTCATTTGCACCAAAATGCAAATGTTGCCTTCCAAATTTTGTCAAACAGGAGAGACCTGCCTCAATGACAGCTGCGAAGGCGAAGGTTAATGAATCCAATGTACAGTTTAGTAGCAACTTAGTAGCAGAGAAAGTGAAGACGCAAAAGAGGTGTTTGGTGCATCCAGTGTGGGTTTTGACACGAACCTGGCTATGGAACTGAGATTCCGTACTCCCCCGACTTTAGCGTAAGGAGATGAGTCATAGACTCTCATGCCACGGAACCTCACAGAATCTTCGCACGGCACTTACAGTAACTTTTTAGAATAGTCTTTAAAATTTAGAACATTTGCACCCAACGTTGAAGTTCTTTCCAAGTGGTTCCCATAAATTGTGATGTCAAATCACAGTTGCCCTGCAACTGTGTTGCGCAACCTGCATTTGTTAAGGTCGTGCATGACAATTTTCTGTCCGCGATACAAAAATAATGACACTTTAAAAAGATTTGCTGTCAGTCCAAAAGGCTCCCAAAACCTTCACCTCCGTGGCACTGTGTGAGGTTTGGTGAGTCTCGGCAGGCTCGAAGATTGATCACCAAGATGACAATGTGTTCAGATCAGCCGCCTTCGGTTTTGCATACTACATGTATAGCTTGGATCATTGGCATGTGTTGTGCTTCAAGGCCTGTTGAGCTTAAACATGAATTTGATTTGTTCCTTTCAACTTTGGTCTTCGGGCAGGCAACGGCGGCGACCAGCTTTGCATTGGAGCGAGACTTGCAGAGTGCCCTTTGTTTGCACTGCCTTTCATGTGGGAGTCGTGCTACACACAGAAGCGTTCAAGAGAGACAAACTCTTGCAAGCTTGTTCCCACACCTCCACTTTGATGTGGCTTGCGAATGAAACTGCAAACTGCAGCTTTTCGTGCTTTTCAAGCACGGCAGTTGTTCTTCAAAGCTTTGGTCATTCAATCGCGTGAAAACTCCCACCTACCATGCAAGACCGTGTCAAACGGGCCCTTTTGTGAGCAGCTGATCGGTGCTGAGGCTGATCCACCACAAATGCAAGACGAGCCGCTCGGTGGGTATGCGTCGTACCGTCGTACCTGACCTTCTGTTGCTCTAAGCGTCAACCCTCCCCAAATGGCCCTCAACCCTACATGTCTCCAAAATTCTGACACACTCGAGCACCTTCATTGCGGTCATGTCCATGATTGTAATGCCCAGGTCGCTCCACGACACCTCAGAAGCCTTTGTTGTTCAATATATATATATATATATGTCAGTGTTATTCCATTCAAAGGTCATCGAAGTTCAGCAGGTTCCTTCCATGCACTTTCTCATTTGTGGCCAAGGAGTCCTGCGAAAAGCCGTGCCCGAAGTCGGCAATCTTTGCGTGTCTTTGGCCAAAAAGTGCTGCTGGAACGGCAACAACGTCGAGCAACCTGGCACAAAGATCAGCGTTCCACCCAGACTGACTGTGAAGGACCTCAAAGACCTTAAGCATCACAACCGCGAGCTCGGAAGAAGGTTTGCTGCCTTGTGTTTATTCTATTTGAGAGGATTCAGTATTGATAGAGGTTCTATAATGTTCTAAAAATGCTTAAGAATTTCTAATTTGAGTCACTACCTTCACGCCGCCCCGGCGTGCAACCTGATCGCCTGGGCTCCATCTCCCGCCGGCGGTGGATTGCAACGGACTAGTTCTCATGTGACATGCTATTAAAGGACACACAAGGCCCATAAAGGCCCGAAATCGTTCCTTGAGGAAATTGCCCACGAGCAAGTTCATGGCCTTGCACTTCCTGAGGACATGGCACAAGAAGGCTAGACGGATTGTGAGGGATGTGAGGTCATGTTTCGGATAGCAGCATGCGCTGGGCAAGGGCACAACTGGTGCCAGGTTTGGAGTCCGCTCTTGAGAAAGAGAATGCTATCAGGACATCAGAAACCGACAGAAACCAACCATTTCATCTTTAACAGCAAGAACCATGCTGGTTGATGTGAGGCTGCTGTCAAAGGGCCTTTTTTTGCCAGATGCTTGAACTGTGGAATTGATGGCCAAACGCATGTTCAATCGGAGTGCTTTCCTCATGGCCTGCAGCTTCTCCAGGAGTTTAGAAATGTTTACTGAATCTCAAGAGAAGCTGGAGAGCGACTGGGACACACTGTCTCAAGAGTGCATTTTGTTGGGCATCGCGTCAACTCGATGTGTTTGCTTGAGCCACATTACTGAATTATGCTGAACCGTTTGAGCATCGCAAGAGGTGACACAAGTTGCAGTGTTAAGCACTTTAGAGGCCAGGCATGGCCACAAGTCGAGTTCTCAGAGCCTAAGGCCTCATCGAAGCGCAGGCATTCCGTCCGGTTGACGCGAGAGAGTCATCGTCAGCATACTGGAGTCGATGAAACAGATATATATATATATATATTGTCCAAACTCTTCAAAATCATTCAAAATGCAAAGGTTTACACTGTGTAGGGCCAAGACCGCTCCATCTTCACACCACTCTTCACACCATTCATTCTGATTCTAGCAACGCTGTTGTTCGATTGGGCACAAGGGTTGCTGGACGTCGGGACAGAGGTGGACCATTCTATACTATGAAATGTGGTTTGTGTGCACTTTGCCCCAAACACACTGCACAAGCCGCATGGACTGACCACAGGCACAACAACAGCAAAGCCAGATGGACCTCCGCCAGGACGAGGATGTTTTAACCAAAGCCAGCCAAAGAGTTGCCAATAAGACCCTTGCATACCCTTACAAAGCTTGCAATTGTCTCCATACGTGAGAGAGGAAGAGACCTGTTTTGGCTTAGAGGTCCCGTTGGTGACGGGCTGTTAGAGAGGAGATTTTTTTTGTTTTTTTGGGGATGATGGGGCCTCTAAATATCGTGACAGTGGGCAGTACTTTGCATCCTGCCTTTCAATATTCTGGATTGTGCAGGATCCAATTATGCCATATGGACATATTCAAAATCTTTCATATGACATATATGACTTAGCCAGTGACTTAGCCATCTTGGCCGGCAGGTTTGCAGGTGGGGGGGGACCCAAGCAGAGTCTCCCTGCGTACTTTGGTAGACCTGAGAAATCGCCAGAGTGTCCCTGCAGGACAGCTGCTCCATTCATGCACATATGGGCCTTGAATTGAAAACCACACAGAATTGGCAATTACTTCTGCAGTTTGGGCCTTGATGTGAGGAGCTGCTCCAGCAGCAAACTATTTGTGAAGGCCTGTCCCAAGAATTGGCGGAGCAACAAGGCCAGGGCACTTGTGATTGAACACGTCTTCATTGCCTTAGTGTTGACTGCAAAGGTCAAGGTCGTGCTCACATGTACAGTCTGCGAGTGGCTGTTTTTCGTTGTCCATTTGTTGTCCGTCCTTACTTAACTATATAAGCTAGCGCCTATTTAAATTAGTAATTAAGGGCAACCAGTTCGCGCCTAGCTAGGACGCAGGATTGCTCACGCTTCTTCAAGGGGAGCTTCCTTGAAGAAGTGCTCGCACCAATGCACTAATGATTTGGTTCCTAGATTTGTAGGAAATCCTAACATAATTTCAGAGCGTCAATGTTTTGTGACTCTCTTTGGGGGCCATGTCGACGTGTAGTCACTAATCCCAACTGATCTTTGATGCAAGTTTCTTGGCTGTCGGTCGGTCATTTCTCCTACCAAGGTCTTTCTCGAATGGGGGCTGGCCTTGAGGAGGACACCACTGCAAATTACATGGTTGCCTTGCCTCCTTGAAATATGAATGACTTACAACGCTCACGGTTCCAGATTCAATGTTCTACCACTAGAGTCATTAGAGCTGACAAAGAGTGTCATGGTTGGAAAAGTGTGGAAATTTGTTATTTATATAATTATGATTACTATACTATACATCCTATTGGCAGCCTTGGCTCGCTACCAGGTTGAGCTTGCAGCTGCGCAGGACCTGGAAAGCCGTTTGCTTGCTACAGCATAGCAAGCAAATTCAAGTCATTTTGTCCGCAAACCATACCATGGGATAGGATGCATGATGATATGCGATTCTGTGATACGTTCATGTTTACATGTTGCATGCTCCTCAAGTAGCATCCCCCCCAACAGCTAGGGGATGAGGCATGCAGCCTTCTTCCAGGGTTTGTGTAGGATCACTTCTGGGGAGTGTGTGTGTGTGTGCGTGTGTATCGCCTCCCGTTTCCAGGGGTTCTAACCTACACTATCCAACCACCCTTGTATTGTGCATAGCCAGAAGGGGACCAGGCAGGGTACATCGTCGCCTGGTCAACGAAGCTGGCGATGTACCTGAGGATATGAAAGTGGGACGCCACTTCCACGTAGCTGCTCGTTCTAGCTTTTTGTGAACCTAAGTACTGCTCAACGCTGTGTCCTACACGTCTAATGCAGTAGCGCAAAGGGCCAATGCCAGCGAATGAACACCGAGATCCACCTGAACATCGCTGCTTGGAGCATTTTTCTCGAGTGCCCATGAATGCTTGCAGACAGACCTGACTTCGCTTCCCCCCTGTCCGACCTGACTTCACTTTGCATACACCGGATATTGATTTAGCTACAGATGAACAAGTCCAGCATGGTTGAAAGAGAGGGGGCGCAGGTTGGAGGCCACCGCTATTCGGTTGGAGGCACCCGCTATTGGGATGGTGTCCCCATTGGCTGTGGAGGATGAGATTCGGAAGCTCGAGAAGTCAATGATGGACATTTCTGTTCAACGGCTGGGGCCCCGTCATGTAAGGTTTGGCTAATGGCCTGGCGTTGGCGTTGCTTGCATGGTGATATGCTACCGCATGCTGCCAGGTCAGAGCTTGCTGCCCAGGAGCACGAGGCGAGGCCAGCAAGTTACTGTGGCAAGCACTGTTACCTGTCACCCATGTATTCATGACATGGGTCGCTAAAGACAGAATGGAGAATAATTGAGAATGTATGGATATGTGTGGTATAGTTACTGTACTGTTCTGTACTGTTCAGGCGGTCTGCATCATGCCGGGAGTTTTTTGCTAGTTGAGCAATTGCCATGGAGCATTGCCATGGCTTCAGCTGTGCGATTGGCATTTGCAGGCCCAAACAAGGGAGAAGCAGCTGGCCACCCGGGCTGCCCAACTCGAAGCCAAGTTGGGCAGCAAAACAGATGAGACAACTCTGGAACAAATGTGCGAGCGAATCCGCGTGGATTCTTGGCTGAAGTTTATACTTGGCCGTGAAGCAGCCCAAACAGCGTGAAAGCCTGATTCAGCACCTGTCATCGCCACTCTTTGGAAGATCCTGCAACAGCTCAGGAATGCTTTCAAGAGATGGAGAGTTGTGAGCTGGCGACTGCAGTAGCCCAACAGAGGGCGGCTTCGCAGCTGGCCGAAATTGACATCGGTTTTTTTGCAATCAAAACGTTTGTTTCAACCTGCAAGGGTTTGGATTTGTTCAACATGCAGTCGGAAAGAGTATTGCCAGCATGTTCGCCTCGGCTTAATGAATCCCTCCAGCAGGCGGACAGACAGAACAGCGCACCGCGGCAAGAGACGTAGAATGATTCCATGATATCATGATATCCTCCTGTCACGTGTTTAGACATGTCTAAACCCAAAATTCACAAACAAGAGTGTCACCCTTCATGCCTGCGTGCCCTTTTGCAAAATGCTAGCAGCAGAAGCACATCTTCGCAGAAAGGGGGCTCAAGTCCAATGCATTTATGTTTCATGCTCATGCTCAGGCCATAAATTCAGCCAGGTCATTTGCAGAGAAGCTTGATTTCCCATGATGTTTTTGTTTTAGCTGGTCACGTGGATGAGGCCCAGGAGTTTATCAAACATGAATCAGAAAGACTCAAAACGCGTGATGCAGCAAGTAAGGCACTCTTTGAAGAGGTTTGCGCACTTCGATCTAAAGGAGCATTGGCTGTGCTGTTCGAAAATTGTTTGTCGCGCGATTGCTTGGCAGGACAAGAGCCTCAAGGATCGGCAGAGCACACATTGAGGCGACCTGATGCACTGTAAAAAAGCATATAAACTGCACTGGACTTGTTTGGACTTCAGTTTCATGCTGATGTCTTGTTTGTTTTTAAAGGCTTCAAAAGGGAAGGGCATTGTGTCACACTCATGTACAATGCTCACATCTTCAAAACCTTCATGAAAGATCATGAAAGCGGTTGTTGGCACAGCTCGAATTCCGGCTTACTGAGCGACCTTCGCGCACCCCAATGCGAATGGCAGCTGCCACGGGCGTCGACACTGAGGCACCTCAACTCAGAATTGGCCAACTACCGCAGAGAATGTCAAGGACGGGGTTGCTGGTATGGGGAGGGACAAAGTTGCAAGGGATGGCCCGAGTTCGTTCAGTGTCCTGCTTACTTACTTTTTGTATTGTTGAAGGGTAAGTTTTAAGTGGGTCACACGCTCTTGTTCTGAAACGGGGGCACAATGTACACTCCAGACGCCAAAGGTGGACCCCGCTGTGCATGTTTGAGAGATACAAGGACTTGGTTGGGACAAGGATTTCTATTTATATATTCAGAATGCATTGGATAGAACAAACTGGTTTTGGTGCAAGTGCCTGCACTAATTGTGCTGTTCTAGCCGGGTGTCATTTCTGCTTGGCTGGATGTCACCATGCCAGTCCCTATACACATGTGCATTTAATCCAAATGTAAGTGGATCCCTTCGAGAAATGCAAATGAAGAACTAGCAGCTTCTTGCTACTCGTAGTAGTAGTAGTAGTAGTAGTAGTAGTCGTCGTCGTCGTCGTCGTCGTCGTCGTGGTAGTAGTAGTAGATAGTAGTAGTAGTAGTAGTAGTAGTAGTAGTAGTAGTAGTAGTAGTA